AGAGACTAAGGCTATTGCCTTAGCTAATTGCTAAGGCAATTTTATTCTTCATTACTTTCGTTGTACAGACAGCAGGGTGTTCAAAGTTGAACTCTAAAGATGGTTTTATTTTAAAATTGTTGAGACATTTACAGATGCGTAACTGAAATTTTGTACATATACTAAACTTTCTATGCTTTACATTAAAGTTACCGACAAAAATTATCACGGCCGGGATAAAAATAGAAAATGCAATGCATGCTTAAAAATTACTTTACTTAAAAATTGTGCATCTCAGTGCTATGACACTAAAATTAATTTTTGGGTAAAAAAATATGTTATCAAATTCTGAAATTACCTTGCAAAAATTGTAACAGTATTTATCATATTTGTCTCTGTTTTAACCCTGTGCTGATTTTTGGTTATTAACTCTAATTTAAAATTAATTTACGTATCTTTAGACATTTCGAAAATATTAAAAGATTATCTTCAGAGTTCAACTTTGAATACCCTGTACACTGAAAACTAAGCACTTTGAGTCACATATTTGTATGAAATTTTCTTCATAAGGTCGCTTAGCAGCTTCTTCTTGCAATATCAACGTGTTGTTTTGGAACACCCCGTATATAAGCCTAGGTATTAGCATTTATCATAAATATTAATGGTTCATTATTCAAATAGTTAAGTTCAGTAGAACATAAAATATATACGAATTGTCATTGTCTCCCGCTACAACCAAAGCGGCACCTTTGTGCAATCGGCTTTATGGTAAAAATTAGATGTCGAGCCGAACAGCATGATTGTATATGCAACTGACACACTTTCGGAGGTGGTCACGTACTGAACAAATCTTAAAAAATACCACTGCGTACCGGAGAATTACATAGCTGGGACGAGCCAGGATCGGAATTGCATCTTGCATCTTGCATATAAGTTTGTCAAGATTGTAATATTGAGCAGAAATTCACTTAATTAGCCACATAGTGTTGTAATACGCAAAATTTCGTAATACGCAGGTATGCACATCTACATTAAGTAATTTCTAATAATTTTCATGGGTTTGTGGTTAATAAATTATCCATATACCTACTTGCATTATTTCTACTACATTATTCTGTCTGTAGATATACAGACTGTTTTCTTCGTCCATGTCATGACTTCAGGGGTTTGTTTCTTGATTCGTTTTAAGCTAAAAAGCAATATTAAGCATCTAAAGTTACCCGATTTTTAGATATAAACATGGGCGTAGGTAGGATTTTTCCTTGGGGTGAGCCTTGAAGATCCAGCTGGTCAGCCGGCTAGTCCGACAAAAGTATGCTATTATTGGATAGTTTTTTTTCTGGGGAGGGCACCACGCTCCCTAGCTACGCGCCTGGATATAGAGCGTTAAAGATTAAAAAATATTACTCCATAATTATATCACGACTGAGTGTTTAGATAATTGAATAAATGCGTTTAATTCCAACTTATATTGATATTCTTTTTTACTCGAGAAAAACTAGCCTATTTGGAGATTTTTCTTATTTAAAATGAGTCTTTGGCAGTTAAATAAATTCATACTATCCTTTCTCAAAAAGTTATAGGTATATTTTGTTTGAAATTATAAATATAACGTAATTATTAGAAGCCCAAACAAATCGTTAGCATTGAAATTTTTTAGATGGTATATTCTTCCTTACTATCCTTCAAGCCCATTAATAATTAAAATAGGTAATATAATTAAAAATGTATGTCAATATTTTTTTGAATTTATGATTATATTTTAAATAATTTTAATTTTGAAATGGAATTTTTAACAAAAACATTATATTCCTTTGTTAATTTAAAAGTTTATACGTCAATGATTTTATTAACACTGCATTGAAAATTATATTTTCATTAATACTTTTATACTTTTTTGGGTGAAAAGAATAGCATTCAAGTTATTTGACATTTATCTAAAAACTACTACATACACACATACCAAATACTGATGTTTCCCGATGTCAATATTTCCAGTTTGGGAAGATATACAGGGTGTTTGGAAAAGTTGGTACAAAATTGAAGGAGATGAAAATACAGCCAAAAATAGTAACAAAAGTTCCTATAAACATTGGTCCTCCGAAGCACCGTTACTGAGATATGGCCCTCCAAAGGAGTCTTATCATTTGGATATTTTTAAAAATAACTTTCTTTCTGATTAAGATAATGAAATGAAAATTGTAGATGATAATTATACCATAAGGGTCTTTACTTGTCATAAGTTTAATCAAAATTGGTTATAAATATGGATAAGGATTTCGACTTTTTTGAAGAATTCGAATTCTGCGTAGTTTAGTCAGAAATAACTTTAACTTTTTTTAACATTTTCACATAATAGGCACCTTTCATGGTGACCCTTCGTTGTAATAATGCTAATGATTGTCACTTTCGCGTGCTATCGTGTAAATTCTTAGTTGTAATTCGTTTCTTAGTTGTGATCTTTATGCTTGACTTCGCACTTCATTCGATTTTTTTACAACAATGAACCATCATGCTTTTACTAATCGTGAATATGCCGATATGCATTTTATTTATGGTTTCTGTAATGGAAATAGTATGGCAGCTCAAAAAGAGTATCGGCAACGTTTTCCTGATAGAAGAAAACCTTCTGCAAAATTGTTTGGAAAAATTCATGCAAGAACTATGGAACCAGGAGTCCTAACTCCAGGATATCGTGAATTTGGCCGTCCAAGGAAGCGTAGGCATGATATGTTTTCCTTTTTCAGTCATCGCCATTTCCTCATTTTTTGTGCAGCTTTATTTATGATTTTATAAAAATTTTCGCTTCTAATAATTTTTAAGAAATTATAAGAATTCATGGCATCGCTTTATATAGTACAACATCGCATCGCATAGGGTTTAGTGTGGACGTACAGGGTGTTTCGCATAAAAACCGACACAGATCAGGGCCATGTAGAGGAACCTAAAATATGATGATTTAACGTAACTTACCTCCTGCGAATTTATAGGTCTTGAAAGTGGGGTTTCTTTCGAAAATAATAAATATCAGTTATAGACATCAAATTAGAAAAACCATTAAACGACAGTGAGTAGAGTTCAACTGAAACATTTTAAAGGGTTGATAAAGAATGATGCACCATTAAAATGGGACAGATTTTTTTTCATGCTCTTGTTAGTTTTTAAAAAACTTTGTCGCTTTCAACAAAAACACGAATAACTAATAATACATATTGTAGCTGAACTATCATCGAAAATTCAAAAGTTGGCTGTGAATTTAGAAATCAATCTTGACGAGATCAGGAAAAAAGTTGCAATAAGAATAATTTAATAGAAAAGCAAACAACTTAAACAACAGAAATAACATACAATTTGCACTGATAAGTTATATATATATAGCATATCAACTTGCTTGCTAAATGAAAACTTCCCGGCCATTTTCAAAACGGTCAGCAAACAATTACTAAAATTAAATGATTTTTTTCCTAATCATCAAGTTTGACGTTTAAATTCATAGCCAACTTTTGAGTTTTCGATGATTTTAAATAACACAGTTACAATGCGTATTATTATAGTTATTCTTGTTTTTGATGAAAACGACAAGATTTTTTGAAAACTAATAAGAGTAAGAAACGTTTTAGAATTAAATTCCTCATAAAATAAAGTAACAATTTTTTAACACTGACATCGTGTACCAAATTTGATTTTTCTAAGTTCAAGTATAACTGGGATATTGATTTTCGAAAATTGAAACCCCAGTTTCAAGGTCTGTAACTTCTCAGGGGTGCAATTTAGTATAATGGTAAGTTGCGCTAAATCCCCATATTTTGGGGTCTCTTACATGCCCCTGCTCTGTGTCAGTTCTTAAAAACACCCTGTATATTAAGACGCCACAACATTAGTATTAGAATATTTCAACGACTTGACATTCAGTGGTAGCACTTTGTAAATAGAGATCGATAACAACTAGAATTTTTGAAAATTAGAGGAATTCCCAGATATGTCCCTGATAGTTTAAAGTTTCTCAGGTTTTGCAGATTGGTATACACCCTAATTGATTCGATTGTGTAATAAGCGTATTTTAAATAAAACAATATACACCCAGTGGCGTCACGATTCTAGGGGTTTTAAAGACTTTTATGTAGTACTCATTGGCATCAAGGCTAACCAATATAAATCTACCAATATTCTATTGCAAATTTGTGACGTCACGATTAAGATTTGGTAAATAAATTGTAAAAAAAAATTATTTCCGGTTTTGACTAGTTTACTTTTAAGTTCGCTGTGATCAAGAAAATACATACAAATACTTTAATTGAAATAATTATAAGGATTTAGGTTTGTTTCGTATGTTTTACATAAAGAAAAACATAACCTGATCTAATCTAACTTATCAGTTTATTATTATAAAACAAAGTGAATTGGCTGTCTCTAGACACTACTCCAAAGACTAGTTCTGCTAAACATAAAAATTATATAATTTTTTAATGTAACATTATATTAAAGCATAATTTCTTACTTCAAGAGAAGTTTTCTATTTTGATTTTTTAAGTATCGACATTGTTAATGATGAACTAATTAATACGAGGTGTAACTTATTTTTACAATAATGCAATGTTATCAGTGAGTCTAATGTTAAAATATTTTTCAAGTGTTTAATTATCTAAAATATTATACATACATTATTTAATGCATCAAGCACTACTTGATTCAGTTATTCACTACATTACTTGAAACTCCGTACAGCAGCCCCTGTGGCCTAATGGATAAGGCATCGGCCTCCTAAGCCGGGGACTGTGGGTTCGAGTCCCACCAGGGGTACAATTTTTTACTTTATTTTTTAACAAAATAGTTATTCATTTGAAACATTAAACTAAAAAATTAAAAACCGGTATACTGCTTGCGTTGTTTATTTCTAATCCTCGTTTAATTTTAAAGTATTAGCATCTATTTTGCGTTTAAATTATTTTTTGCATATATTAAATAAACATAATAAAATATGTAACTTGTCAGTAAAAAATTAATTATAATTATTTACTCACCATGTGGCACTGCAAAAGCTTGATAAAACTGTGACAAATATGTGAGGATAGATAAACGATCTGGAACGGAGTACTCTACCATGTCTTCTGGTTCGAGTAATGCTGGAATGCCCAAGTACTGCTCTGCCACCCTGAACGCTAATTCGTTGTTGTGGTATACGTCATCTTTGTTCAATTTTGTAAAATCTCTGAAAAGATGGAAACGGAAAATAAAAATCAGGCCTGAAGAAAACTTTTAAGAAAATATGTAGCCATGGGCGTAGCTAGGATTATTGCTAGGGGTGAGCCCAGGATTGCACGCTCTATAGAGGCCTCAAAAAAATAATAGAAAGCACGCACTTCAAAACCTAAACACTTTTTCGTTTTATTCTAAAAAAATATCGCGCAGTCAGCGACCTACCAATATAAAATTTCCAAAACACTTTTTGAAATTTTTAGCATGTACTAACAATTAGAGGGGTCGTGGCCCCTGCCCCCCTAGCTACGCCCATGTATGTAGCCATGTAAATAACATCAATGGAATATACAACGAGACCGGAGAGACCTGAAGGATTGTTCGTACAGCGAATAACACAGGCCCACAAACAGAAATCGAAAAGTCCTTTTTCCCAGACTAGGTGACGTTCATGTTTTTGAGCTCGCTGATCACGATCCCGGTGTCCATATGAGCAAGGTAAAATGAAGGTCAAACACATTAACTTGAATGATACAATTTTTTTTTACCCTGGATTCTGAAAGAGCGGAAAGTTTTACGTCCGAACACGCTACGACCAACAGGTCGAACCGACCTCTGGTCATTTGAAGGTCATCTAAAGGTCAAACCTTTCTTTTGATATCTCGGCTGATATATCGACTAAGAAAATTCAGGGGAATTAGTCCCTCCCTGGCGGAAAAAATACGTACTTAACAGTTAAGTGTGATTTCGTGAAATGATAGGTTCATAGTCCAAAATGATGAAGTTGAGAGTTGTCCTCTCTCACTTATTATTAGAGTTAGGGCTATCAAACCTTAAACTATTGTAACGTTAAGAAAATAAACATCCAAATACATATATAAAAATATAGAGTATAAATAAAAGTTTGATTTATATCTTCCAAACGCAGCACTCAAAGATTGTTTTTCTATACAGTTTTGTAATCACAAGATGATCTCTTAATACTTTTGATTATTTCATTTCTTCTAAGTGTGAGTCAGAGAGATAAAAATATAGAATGTTATGTGAATACTCAGAATCCCCAAAGAAAAAAGTCCAATGGCGTTAAATCGCATGATCTGGGTGGCCAATTCTGATCAACAAATCGGGAAATTGCACGACCGGAAAATGACTCATGCAGTAATTGAATTGTTTCTCGGCCTGTGTGGCACGTTGCAGCATCTTGGTGAAACCACGTATCGTCTACATCAATATCTTGCAATTTAGACACAAAAAACTGGATTATGATGTCGCGATAGCGAGCACTATTGACTGTTATGCCTGACCAATCGCATTTTCCAAGAAGAATGTTCCGATGATGCCCCCAGCTCAAAATTCGCACTAAACAGTGGCACGTTGTGGAAGCATTTATTTTTCAACAATCACTAGTGGATTTTTTCTGAACCCCAAAGGCGACAATTTTGTCGATTAACGAAGCCATCAAGATGTAAATGAAGCTCATCGTTGAAGATAATTTTGTTCGAAAAATCAGTATCCACTTGTTATTGTGCCATAATCTATTCAACGAACTCTCCAGTCTGAGTGGTCAGTAGGATTTAGTTCTTACGTCAGTTGAACTTTGTAAGCCTGAAGATGCCAAAGATGCCAATCTTTCGTGAGAATACGCTGTAGAGAGACGTCCAATTCTTGACAAAGATGCTGATTGATTAGATGTTCCTGACTCTTAATATCACTCTCACGAACTGCTTCGATGTTTTGTGTTGACGACTCGCTGAAGGACGTTCAGATTGTTTAAGATCACTAATGGATCCAGTCTGTCTGAATTTTTCAATTAATCTCTTTGCAGTTGATGAAGTTAAATTACTATTCAGACCGTATTTTGTAGGAAAATTGCGAACTGTGGCTGCCAAATCTTCATTATTTTAAACATATTGTTCAACATTTAAAACGAGTTCTTTCATGTAGCGCTTCATTTTTAATAACCCTGTCACGCTATCTTACCCGATACCTACATAAAATGATCAGTTAAAGTTTGTTGTTAAGAAACTATGCCACTTCACTGACTTTCTTTTACAGTTTGTTTAAAAAGAAATCAGTTGTAGTCTCGGCTGTAGTTTTAGAAACAAACTTTGATAAAATTTTTGAAATGTTAAGTGATGTGACATAATGATGCGCATTTTTTCTTATAATTTTTTTCGATATTTTTTTTCCTTTTAAAAAATGTCTAAAAAGGCCCAGTTTTTTTGAAAAGTTAAGAATTTATGAGAAAAAAATTAATGTACTGCAATGCAATTTTAAAAAGATGAGCTATTTAACGCGAGTGTATTTTGCCGAAAATGTCATGGGGGTTGATTAGTTCAACCCTTTACAAAAATACTTCAGGGTTGAAAAAAATTCAAAAAGTGTAGTTTTTTGACAGATAATGTTCACCACGTTTGGTTTCTTTAGCTTAATAAAAAGTATTCTTTTTTAATTTTTGGAGGAGCGTAACTTTTCAAAAAATTGTATACCAAAGACCCCTATTAATTTTCATCAGAGAACATTTTTTCGATGTTATTTAGATGCACCCTGTATATACAAATTTATCAAATATCTTATTATTAGTATATAAATGCAATCGTTACAATTTTTAAATATAAATATCCTCGTACATCATGAAATTAAGTAAACCTTGGGCAATAATAAAATTGTAAGTTAAAAACTCTAAATACAGCTAACTTAAAAAGTATACTAATGGAGATTCCACAATAAAGAATATTTTTGTGTTAGTTTCCTGTTTGCCTTTCGTTATAATGACGTTTGCTTGATGTATCAAGTTCCGGTAGTCTTTTTAGGCAAGATATTCTTATAAGGAGTGATGGCCTTAATGCTTTATATGTACAAACTATTTTCTTTGAGCTATAAAGAAAGGTTTGCGTAACAACAAAAAACTCCTGAAAGCATATTTTGGTGAAATGTTTAACAATAAGTAGTACAATTTTGTTGTTGTACATGATAGAGGCCGTTCCTTCGGGATCTGTCTTGATCCAAAAGTAGATAAATCCTTAATTAAAACATTGAACTGACTTTTGTATGATCCTTGTTAACAATTAACATAATTTCAACGGTACATGTTTTGTACAAGATTATTCACATAACATTCCCTCTTACCTTTATTCATTTCGTTACTTAGAAAAAAAATGTATTAGGTTCAACCTGTAAGAAATTTTCTTGTGATTTCAGAACTGTTTTTAGAAAATAAAACAATCTGTATATTTCGATAGAATACTTTTTTAAGATTACAATGATATACGGTTTGGTAGAAATTATGTTCAATAATAAAGAATACAAAAATAAAATACGTTATTTTACGTTAAAGGTAAAAGTCCACCGCTAACCGCGACGAGAACCTGGCACCATCAAATCAATGAATTAGTAACTGCAGCAAGATCCTGATTAGTCTGAATTTGATGTGCAACATTCCTAATTCTGTTTTGTTATTTTTCAGCTGTTAATATTCTAGAGGATAACAACTGGTGCTCTAACAGGTCACTCTTATCCACCCTCCATTAAAATGGTGGTTAACATTTCTTGCAGCATGTGCCGGAGTCCCATCGCGTTGATACCCCATTATGCTGTGCAGCACAAGAGGAACATCTAAAGGACATTTAAACGATGTGAGAGAATTTGTATTGGTAGTCAATGTTATCGAAAATGTCACACTATGTGTTGATAAAAAATCTATGTTGACAATTGTGTCTCCTATGTTTTAGGATTTTATGTTGACCATACATGCTCATTGTGAAAATTACTATTTTAATTCCATTTTTGGTAAAAGTAGCTTTGTTGGTCCACAAAATAGGACTAAGAAAATTGGGATTCCGTTCGTATTGCTTGAGAAGCTCGTGAAAATGCTAATCTTCGCATTTCATCTGCTGGTTCTAAGTGACGTACACACTGATAATAGTAAGGGTGCAATGTGTCTCTGTGTACATATCATCAGGTTGTGAAATTCTGCCATTCTCAGAAGTACCTCAATATCTTAAAAATTTATTTTATGTCCTTCATCTAATGCATGTTGGACGATCATCAATCTAGACTACGGAGTACAGTACAAAATTATTACTGTTTAAAATAACTAACTTGGTGTTAAGCTTCCGGTATATTACTCGTAGAAGTATACAAGGAACATAATTTAAAATTTTTATTCCATACATTTCCCTGTATTTCTTAACAAAGTGCTTAAAAATACATACTAAATGAAGTTGATTTATTAAATGCATGCAAATAGCATATGCAATACTGGACACTAAATTGATTAATATTTTCTTACGGGTTTAGAAAGTTTAATGGTGCTCGTTTAATGTTACGTAAAATTTCACTGCTTGAGAAATTGTGTTACCAACAATTAAATGAATTGTTAGATATACGTACCTGTAGTTACAGTATGCTGATAATGATTAAGAATTTTTAAGACTTCCCGAATAAGCTGAAATGTATCGCATTTTTAAAAACAGAAAGGGATTGTATGTTCACACATTTATACAGGGTATCGTAGATATGCCAAATTGAAATAGGCAATACTTGTTTCACAAACGCCAAATAATATCAAATAACCTTATTAAGGAGTAATAAATAGTAGAATTAACATTTCTTTCTATATACCGGGTGTCGCAAAATTCACGCAACATTTGAATTTTGCGAAATTTGTGCGATAAAGTATTGCCAACGAAATAAAATCTTCAGCCAAGAGGCTCATTTTGATCTTGATGGCTTCATTAATCGATAAAATTGTCGCATTTGGGGTTCAGAAAATCCACGAGTGATTGTTGAGAAACAAATGCATCCACAATGTGTCACTGTTTGGTGTTGATTTTGGTCTAGCTAGAGTCTTCGAAAATGCGTTTGGTCCAGCAATAACAGTTGGTGGAGCTTGCTATCGCGACATGATATTCAAGTTTTATGTGCCTAAATTGCATGATATGATTGTAGACGGCATGGGAAACAATTTAATTACAGCATGATTTACGTCCTGCACGTGTAATTTCTCGTTTT